GCTAAATACTGTAGATATCACAAAAACAATCAAAACTCCTGTCCTCTAACAATAGATGGTTGATTAGCTATTGAAAGTATGCCATACTGCAGGCCTCTTTACCAGCTGCTCACTGGTGTTGCTGTCACTGCTTTGCAGGCCATGGCATTAATGAGGAGGAGAAAGGAGTGAGAAGAGAGAGGGAGTATGGATGGATGAGATAAGAACAGTGGAAAAGAGACTCAGGCCAGCTGAAGGAGCAAATGAAGGACTGAGCAAGCCAAGCATGACCGGACGTCCTGCCCGCTACATGCAACTAAAGCCTGTGTGCTGGCCAGAGGAGGATGTGTACACTGGAACAATGCAGTTTGGATAAATTCTGCTTGAGGCTCTGAGTGGAGTAATAGTGTACTATGTTTGTGGGTATATTGCAAATTGTACATGGATGTGTCAAGTACTGCATGTCCTCAGGCCATTTAGTTTAAACTCAGAAAGTTGACCTAAAGCAGAGAGCATTTGGGCCTCTTGTTTAATGTTTGTTATGTTTTCTTAGAGAGCTGGGAAGAATGATGGTTGGCCGTGTATCAAACATACAGTGACCCTGTCCTGACTGGCAACTCTTGTCCCTCTTAGTGCCAGCTGACCTCACAGGCACTGGCACGCAAACAGCCCAACTGAGCCTCTTCTGGCTGCATAGACATGCAGCATCTGTACAGCGCAGACAGCACATAAAACACACTGCACTCAAAAGTCTGGGAGTTTTTTCAAAATGTTTCAATAAATAAGCACATTGTTTCTTTTTTTTGTTAGTTTTGTTCTTTTGCTATAACTTAAAGGATCAATATTATGGAAAACTAAATTTGTCTTTTGTCTTTGAATTAAAAGACTTTGATGTATGAACAACTGTTAAAGTTTCAAAACCTATCATTCCTCAGTCCAAATGGTCCATTTATGGAAAATAAGCTGAAAGAACAGCCTGTTTTGAATTTGTTGTTTTTATTACATAGCGAAAACCAAATTAGGACTTAGCAGTTTTTCTCTATGGGGTATTTTCTGTCGCTATCACGCCTATTTGTAAAAAAAAAACGTTCCAAAGCTGATGCTTCATTTTGTGTAAACCTCCCCAATCCCAAACTTTACAGGATCCTCTGAATTACAAGGTCATTAAGAAGTTGAAATATGAATAATGCTATATCTGTCACGAAATCTTGTCACTGGGGTGGTACCGCCAAATTTTAGAACCTTTAGTCAGGGAATATAATTGTACCGTAATCCACTGAAATTATATCATTTAAGTTGTATTGACTCCACACTCCCCGTCTCGTCTCCAGGCTTTTTATTTTATTTAAATAATAGAATATTATGTGTAATATTGTATTGATCTGAAGACTTATTATTCAGTACTGCCATAAATTATTCAGTAACTACTAAACATTATCCTGTAACTACTACAAATTATTCAGTAGTACTATAAATTATTCAGTAACTACTACAAATTAATCAGTAAATGATTTAAATTATTCAGTAACTAAAGTATTTAGTACTACTATAAATTAATCAGTAACTACCGTAAATTATTCAGTACTACTATAACTTATTCAGTAACTACTACAAATCATTCAGTAAGCGCTTTAAATTATTTAGTACCTACTATGAATTATTCAGTAACTACTATGAAAGTTACACAGTTATGAGAGTGGGGAACTGAATTGTGTACTGTGGATCCTCAGAGTTTAAGGGGTTTAGTTATTGCAATACCACAAAGAAAATCTCATTTACTGAAAACAATATATTTTCTAGACAGTGTATCTGTAAACATCCATTCAGGAAAATCATTAAATAAGTGCAAACGACAGTTCTGTAAGAACACATATAAACTCCAGATAGATGCTGACAGCAGCCACACTGGTCTGCTTGTTCCTGGAAACATGGCTCATGTCACTTAGGTGTCAAAGAGCTCTGGCACATGAGTAAGGAATGCCTCTCCCCAGTAACCCTTCACCTCTCCATTGCCCTACACACATCCACTTTACATAAAAGCCCATAAAGAGCAAAAAAAACAAGATAAGACTGTCTACTCCACCCTATACAGCTACACTCATCAGACAAGAAACTGAGAATTATGGGTAATAGCCCCAGCAATGATACACCTCAGTGAGCGAGACTGAATCAGAAGATGAGAGGTGGACAGAGACAGATAGTATTTTCTGGAGAGTGGTGAGTAAGAGGTGCTCAGTGAGGATCAAAGTGCACAGCTCTTGGGCAGTTTGCCGTAGAGAGGTGAAGAATTCTGCAGCAATTATGCTCAATTTACCCTCTGCTGCTCAGCAGGAGGCTCACTGGGAGAGCCAGGCATTTACCAGTGCTTTAGAATTTATGCAGGTACAGCAGCACTACTGCCATACACAGTAAACTGCACTGCCCGTCTAAAGTTTACCTAAAACAAACAAAATGATCATTTACAGTGAATCAGTACAGTACACAGCAATTATAATCACATCTGTTAGATTCTGGGAAGCTGAGACAGTGAGTCACACACTTTGGCCATGTGTGTGTATATTAATTTGCTTTCTTTTGAATTTGTCAAAGTGACGTCTGATTTTCACTGTTTTGTTTAAGTTCAAACAAAACAAAATCCCTGCAAAGGTTTTATTAATATAAAGCAGTTATTTATTTTGAGTACTTGTACCCAACACTCAGCTTCATGTTCATCAAAGTATCTTCCTTATATGAAAAACATGTTTTGTCTAATAATTATTTGACAGAACAAAAACTTGAAGTGGGGGGTTTTGTAGCCGCTTTCTTCAGGCCTCATAGTGGCCATTCAACTTTCTATTTTTTATACAGTAACATAAAATACTTTTCCCTGTAACTCTGTTATCAGGTTAACTAGGAAACTGTTGGCTCTCTGCAGTGAACTGTTGAGACACTGTGTTGAGGTGCTAGTGAGCAATGAAGGTGAAAATGGGAGAGTGAGAATCTCCTGCTATGAAGAGTTCACACTTCAGATCTGTGCAGAGACATTTTGGAGGGCAGGGGCTCAAGGAGATAAAAGGGCAACATGAACATGAATTTAATTTACCATATTAATTGCAGTTAGTTATCAAGAGAGGGAGTAAAATAATGTTTCAGATAAAACCAAACGTTGTGCTGAGAGTTTTTTTTCCAAAGGGAGCCAAAGTGAAGCACCGACATTACTATTTACACAGGTGATTTGAACCTGAGTCACCAGCATGCAGAGCCATTACTCACTACACTATTTAATCACTATGCAGCATTTAGCTCTCTTTTTATGAGCTCCAGAGTCTCATACAGAGACCTGTTTTTTTACAATAATGAAATCTGGATGTAGCAAGCCATTAACACCCCTTACTGCCAACATTATGTTTGGCTTTTGTTCAAAATAATCACTGCCATTATCATTATGGAATGTCACACCTTCTTTCATTACTTTTATTATTTAATAAAGAGATTATCAGTGTTTTACTGGTGGGATCTAATGCTGTGGTGACATATGATAGGTTGGAGTTACTGAGGAGAACCATAAAAGGTTAGTGTACCAGAGGGGGCGCTCAAGAGCAATGAATCTCATAGAACCCAAGCCAACCCATGAGCTCTGTTCTCAAGGCTGAGCCTCATCTTGCTGAAACAGATCTTAAAGAATGGTGGCGGCACACCAACCAAGAGTGCACTTGTACAGTCTGAGGGCAAAGGAGCAGTGGCTGAGAACCCACGTTTGCACATGCCTGCAGTGATCTCCATAAAGACAGCCATGCTGAGATAAAACAGACAGCATTGCAGCATTATTGATATCAAAAATGTGCACAATTTCTGCAATACAAAATAGCATTTAGCATAATGAGCAAATAACACAAACAATAATAAAAACACTTCAATAAATGTTGACTCGCTTGCTCACCTATTAAGACAAAAATCCAGTTCACTTCCAGTTTTGTAAATCATACACATTTCCATCAAGCAATATTCCATAAAAGTTATTAAAGGAAAACATATACAATTCAACTAACAGATCTTCTACAAAAGAGACAGAAATTATATTTTATGGTCGCTGTGAAAAGGGTTTAAGAATTACTTTTGTAAATGAAATGATATTAACTTCATAATGTAAAGGTTATGTAAAGGTTCTATACTAATTAAAGTTTTTGTAGAAACCAAAAAACGTTTAGAATCTTTATTTTTAAGGATGTATATGATATCCACAATAAATAGAGGACACACCTCACAGTCAAGATATGTAAAGCACAGGTACTATAGAAAGCATTAAGAGGGACTCTGCTGTTATCAGGCTGTCTCTATACTATTGCATGATTAAATGGTTCTCTGCCTGGTGAAATTGTTCCTCAGATTGATGGAAAATGTGTTGTCTCTTTTTGAAAAGGGTTCTACATAGCACCAAAAAGGGTTCTTCTATTGCTACAAGCTTGACATCGTAACAAAAGCGGATGTGCTATATAGTGTTTTTGATGCTATATGGAACCATATATAACACATTCTCCATCAGTCTGAAGAACCATTTCACCAGGCAGAGAACCATTTTATCATGCAAATGGTTCTTTGAGTGTTCATGGTTCTGTATAGAACCACTGTCTTTACTTAAGAACCTATGAAGAAGGGTCATTTTTAAGAGTGTAGGATAATTTGCTATGGACCAAGCTAATTGCATTAGCGAGCGGCTGATGTATATGCAGAGGGGAGAGGAAGGTAAACACGTGGGGCAGTAATGTGTCATGTGTGCGTTGTACTCTGATATGCAGTGGGTTTTCACTGTCCACACAATCAGTGCAGTGACCCAGTGTAGTAAGCAGTGCCCAGACAGAAAGAAGGAGAGAGAGAAAGAGCTGAGGAATGTGTGTCTCTCCACCTCCACACTCGCTAAGCCCTCGTGGTCTGGGGATCAATCTTGCAAAACACACTACTGTACTGAATAACAGCCCCTTGCTCCATGCAGTGTGATTCGCTGTATGGAGGAGAATGTTTGCACTTGCATTGTTTGATCTTACCATAAATTGCAGTTTTCTTTGTAGGTGGCCCCTGAATGGAACTTGTGGCCGTTTCTTTTGCAAATACCTGAAACCAAGAGACAGCAATTTACAGTGAGTCAGTCTGCAGTACACACACCGATTACCATCACACCTCTTAGATTCTCAGGAAGCTGAGACAGTGAGTCACACACCTTTTTGGCATTTCTGATACATCTCCAATCAACATACACACTGGTAGGGGTAGCATGACTGAATTGTACTAGTTGTACTATTCTACTACCACTAAATAATAGAAAATTAACTGAAAGAGTAGGTGACACTTTATTTACATATCAACAACATATCAATGATTATATAGCAGTGAATACTTTCAGTAGATTATGAAGAGACTTTTAAATTGCTGCGTAAATAAAATTTGTTTATAATCTACTGAATCCAGTTGTTTTTCACTTTCTTTGGAGTGTCCAAGTTTATATTTATAGATGTTAACCTGAGAGGTCACTGGACATGTAACATGTATTATACTGACCATCTCAACATCCTCAACAAGCTGTTATAGACACCCTGCTGACACCATTTTGTAACTGTAATTTAACTGGATTAGGTTTTGGTTAAGGTTAAGGTTAGGCTTAGGGCCATGGTTAGGTGTTGGAGAAGGTTGGTTAAGGTTAGGTTTTGTGTAATGAAAGTAACACATGATGTTTACTTCATGTAACATCAATAATCCATGTATTAATGTAAGGAATGTATCAACAGTACACCTTCAAGATATTTACTTCAGTGCATTCAGGTGCTTTGCTACTGCAACTTCACTGATATATTGTTGATGTGTTACTGATCATCTGTTAACAGTTTATTAATCATCTACAAAGGACCACTGCAAATAAACTGTTACCAAAGAGTATTCCATCAAACACATTGGTGAAGAGTATTTTGTCTGCAGGTTGCTACTAGGGGCTAGCAGAAGGTGCTTCATTTTGGGGTGGTCACTCATTGCAAAGGTGCTTTTGTTGTTTTTCAGTTTGTCTCTGCCTCACACTCTCTGGTCCATGTAATGTATGCTAAGATAAGCACAGCTATCATAATCTTCAAGATAGCGACTTTGTGCGCTTTTGTTTATGTATGTAGCTTATGAGTATTCATCAGTAGCACGCAGTTGCCTTCATATACACTGTGACAATGAGCCTTTCAAGATAAGATATAGTTGCTGGATTGGAAAAACGTTTGCAAAGTTCATACCATCCAATATTCATTATTTTAACAGGTATTTTTATAATTTGGGGTACTGTATAGCTTTTGCACAGGTCCTTTTTTGTTGTAGCACCATTTTGATCTCTGTCTCTAACATCATGTAAAAATCATGGTCTGTGGGTCGGTTTGCATGTCAGTCAAATGCCCCTTTCTGTCACAACAGGCAACTTGACCACCTTGAGTGACAAAACCTACCTGATTGTCTAGTAATTATATATCTTGTAATCCTAACTTGGGAGTCGTTTTGATCTGAAGTACTTCTACACTATTGTAGTACACTGTGTTTAGCAGAAAAAATCGTCCTTTATGTTCACTACTGTTTTTCCCATTGTCAAATTTTATTACCAAAAAACAGACACTGTCCCTAACTCATGTATAGCTGCCCACAGCGCCAACTGGTGGATATATTAGCTGACTGCTCTATGTGTACAGGGCTGATGGGGTTAACAGAAACACTTCTTTCAGTTCTAAGGGCTGAAACTCCACTGAGCCTCAGTAATCTGGTGCTGGAATGTTGGCTTGGTTCTCCTTTATTTTCCCTGGGACCCTGCTCTCGTCATGCCTTAACGGGCTTAATTAGAGTTACACTGGGCAGCTGGATGTGAGTGGGCAGCACCATAAGCTACATATATCTCCCTGCTCACTGCAATCCCTCCCATATGCAGTAATGAAGATTCTACACTTCACTCCCACACTGCAACAGTCTGCAGCAGACACAGTCATTAATCTCTGCTGTCAGTGCTCTCACTAACACTGCAGTGATGTCTAATAACCTCTAGTGCCACACGCACAAACACAAACACACACACACACACACACACACACAAACACACACACGCACACACACACACACACACACACACACAGTCAAAACATTTCATATGATTTTATTGTTCAGTAGAAAACTAAACACAAAAAAAGATGCATTGAAAGCCTGGAGAGTGTAGTTAAGTGGGTGTCAATTGTCATACTAAAATGAAAAGTATAGTGTTTGTAGTGTTTTAGCGATTTTAGGCATAATGAATAAATACAGATATAAGGTCATTTTCCTGGACAACGATTAGGTCAAGTCCTGGACTACAGAGAGTTCTATATGGAGATTCTCCAAAAAATTTCCTATTCCCTGACTGGGAAACTGACCCACTGAGTTATAAATAAATATTTTATATACTGATTTAGGCATGGTAATAATAGATTATAAAGTATGTATCTAAGTTAGAAATATTAGCAATGTTGTTGTAATAAAGTAATAATACTATTGATAGTAGTTAATTATTACATCACTAATACGTGGAGTAATCAATGCATGATATTAATGACTCAATATTAAAAAAACCCTATAAATAACAAAATGAGTATAGATAAAATCTGCCATATACATAACACATACAAATAATAAATAATCTTTAATAAACTAATAATCTTAATGAATATTATTACTTACTTATTTTAATATTAATTTTAAAAATGTGCACAGTGGCCTTTATTCATTAAAGTTGCATAAAAAAGAGCGTGGATTTGACTGTCTTTCATGACGCATGAAGTACTCTGTGCTTGATTCATGAAACCTTTGCACTGCGTGAAAAGAGATTTGCATTTGCAAATGTTGCATCAGCTTCAGTGCATGAAATCACGCACCAGCCTACCAGTACCTTATTTATATAACATTTACATGAAGCATGCCCTAATTCATGCAGATGTTTTGGTCAGGAACCAATAAAATGACTGCAACAGCACTCGTGAGCCAATGGCTGTGCTTGTAGGTGGAGTTTGAGGTTGAGCAGTGCATTGTTCCCCAAGCTCGCCAAACTTTACTGTGCTGAAATTATGATGACTAGAAAAAATGTAATGTGAAAAAAACAAAATGTCTTTTTTTTGAGATGGTAGAATAATGTGGTTGTGCAGTGAAATTATTTTTCTAATATAGCAAATCTAAACACTGTGTTATTGCAGTGTATGAGACGCTTCTGCACCAGCTGTGTTTTGTATTTTTTATTTTTTGGATGGTGTCAGTAGCATAAAACAAAACACAGTGTAGTATGTCTTTAAATGGAACATGAAATATGTGTTTATTCCAGTGTGCATCCACTTTTGTACTATATTGCCATGTGCACAAATAATTAGATGATAGTGAAAATAGTCTTGGTTAGTTAACCTCAAAACAAGCATTTTTCAAGTTGTTAAACTATTATGCTCACATCACACTCCTACCAGATGTGAGTTTGATCATACAGATATGCCAGATAAAATACAAATCTGTGGGTGAGGTTTGTGTGTCCTCATTTTAATGTGCATGGTAGGGTCACATGCTTGGGGAAATATGTTGCGTGTGTGTGTGCCTGTGCATGTGTGTGTATGAGCTGCAGGCTGCTGTAAAACACCTGTGGACGTGATTGTCCCTCCTTCAGCAAACAGAGGCCTTGTCCAGCATGTACGTGCATACCTGCTCTGATCCCCTTCGGCCCTTTCCTGCCTCCCTCTCCCCCCCGGCACTCGCTCTCTCTGCATTACATGCATTCTTTCTGCTGACCTCCATTCATCCCTCCCTCCATCCTGCCTCCTGTCCGCCTGTGTTCATAAAAAGTCCACTGTTCTCTGCCCATTCTCAGGTAAAGCCCAACACTTTTTACACCTCATGACTGCAGATGGACTACAAAAGAGGCTGTGCAGGAAAACACACAGGCTAAAGTTTAACATGGGCAGGAATGTGTGGAACTCACTCCATTTTCACTGGAGTGTAATACAAAGCAACAGAGCAATGGATTTCCTCTTGTTCCGTGTCATTGACTGAAGGTCTTTTTAGTGGGTGTGGAGATTTTGATCATATCTTTAGGTCTAGGGTGGGTGATGTGAAACTCAAATACGTATCATTATATTATAATAATAACGATATGAAATAACAAAAAAATCAACTGACAATAATTAGTATTGTAATAATACCTGTGCAAGTTAATATTTAATTACGAAGCAGATCATTCTGGTACTACAATCTCATTGGCTGATTGGCTGAATTGCTTATTGCAATTATTATCAATGATTCCTTGATTCAATTATTTCAATTACTTATTAAAAAAAGGTGTATTTTATCATATTTTATGTTGTCGCTATTTTGTAAAAGCAATAGGTCACTTGAGGTCATCTGTTTCTGTTGACAAGTGTAGGCAAACTTTACAGAATGTTGCCAAAAAACTCAATGTATGGAAATTTAGGGTGCTTTATTCATTTAAAATGGTATATATTTTGTGTATATGTGTAGCTTAGCTAATGTTAGCATGGGGAAAAATTTGTTGTTTCCAACCTGCCTTTTGATTATCTACAACATAGTACAGCTCACCTTTATTTAGGCCATAGGCCATAGTGAGCTTCACCATGTTGTTCTGCTGGGCTCTAATTCTTACACTTACTTTGATATGGTGGGGGAACTCCCAGACAGTGTCCCCAGAAATCTGGGCAGCAGTCGGAAATGGTGCGGTTGCAAAAGAGGTCACAGTAGCAAATGGTGTCCAGGTACGGCATGGTGCACTGGTCGTTCCTGCCCTCGCAGCAGCCTCCTCTCCGCTGACAGTAGGAGCCGTATGGGTCCCGGATGCCCCCCACGTGCAGTGGGCTGGCCAACTCCCTCCGACTGCGGGACAGAGTTCTTAAAGCCATACTTCCCTCCACCAGCAGGAGGAGCACTGCACTGACTGCCAGCATCAGCCTCATCGTCACTCGACTGTCAGAGAGAAATCAATACCCAAATATGATTAAGCATGACCATTTTAGAAAATCATATTACACCATTTATGCCTCATCACGATCCATCTCATTGTGCTCAAACACGATGACCCACTGAAGGACAGAAACACAGTCAGCTATGCTGAAAAAAGTGAATTTACTTGATTGAAATGTGTTGATTGAAATCATTTCCACGTGAATAAAATACTTTTATTGCTTCCATAGACAGAAATATGTGAGAAAGATGTCATTTTGTTTATGCTGCATATTATATTCATATTGATGTACACAATTGAAGCAAGAAAGGTCAGTGATTTTTTTTTTCAGTGTGAGCTGCAAGCAGGCCTTTGATGGAGTGATGCAGAGCTATGTGCCTCCTCATTCTGCACATTCATTTTTGTCTGGCTGGTGAAGTACACTGAAACTCTGAGCGCTGCTCTCTCAGCCAAAAATCCCTGAATGTAAACAAAGGTGATAAACACAAGTTCATCATGCCCTTTTTTATTAACGTAGATACACTTCAAACACGCAAACACCATGAAGACTGAAAAGGATAAGTAAAAAAATTGTCATTAGTCACTTTCTTTGTTGCTTTTGTCAGTCTACTGATCAGTTTGTATTTGTAGCTACATGAATTGTGACTGGTCAGTTTAGATGATATCTCTGGACCAAAGGCAAGGTCGAGGAAGTGAACTGAGGAGCCCATCTCCATCTTTCATTTCATGTTGAATTTTCAGTGATGTGTGATTTTCATCATGTTGCTGAACTCAGAGAGCGTCCGTAAGTCAAAGTGAATGCTTACGTCAGAAAATCTGCTGTACAAGAATGTGTGTGGATGTGCTATTCAGAGTGGTGGAGACTCTGGGGTAGTTCAGAATGCCTGCAGTTTAATGTTAGACACTGATTCTGCCAAGTTTGGAGCTTTCATCCTCTTGCGTCAAACAGGGTTATTTTTATAAATGGGGAGAATTAAATAGGGAGGAAGTTGCAATACTGTTTCTATAATGGACAGTAAGACTGTTACACTTGCTGTCTTGTATCAAATGTATTATTACATCCAGTTCCTGATTTTTCTTGGCTTTAAAACATCTTTAAAACAGTCTGGGAATTCAGGGCTAAGCTGTGTTATATCATGTTTAAAACGACTACTGTTTCCTTCAGTGCGTGGACTGAAGTGACAAAATAAGATGGATTAGCCCATAAAAACTGTGTAATAAACCAGCGAGCAGTTCAGATAGGGGAAGGAGTGGTCATTGATCTAAATGGGGCATGAAAGCACAGTAGCTGACATGAGGAGGGGCTCCCTGCCACTATCAACATGACAGAGCCTAAAGTTATCAGCAGGATAACAGTCACTTCCGCCTGTCTACCCAAACAGTCATTTGAGCAGCAAAGTTATGGGATATAAGAGCTGTCTCTGTTAAAATTAATCTAACTGCAACATAGGACACGCTGACCTGTCCATGCTCTGTCCACAAATATGTTGGTTTGTTCCAGTCTCTACATTACATTAAGTTAGCAGTTTAAAGGGCTCACATCCTACATTTCTGTATTTTACTTTTTTGATTTCATAGTGAGATTTTACATTCAGTTTTAAATGACCATTTTTCAATCTTTCTGTATCCCTTAGAGTTAAATGGGCTGTTTTTATTGCTGTGCCTTTAAGTTTGATATGCAATTGTGGGTAAAAGTTTGAACACTCTTCATCAAATTACGTTTTGTTGATTTTCTAAGTGAAAGGTTTACACATCCTTTACAGGAACAAACATCAATGAAACATTTTTCTGCACATTTTAGTGGACAATTAGTGTTTATTTGCTGAGTTTAACATATTGGAAAAAAAAACCTTAAATGTAAAATGTGACATAACTTTTGCACGGGCCATTTTTCCCCAATATGTTAAATTCAGCAAATAAACAGTAATTGTGCATTAAAATATGTAGAAGTGTGTTCTCTGTAGAGGATGTGTATTTATTTTCATTTTGAAAATAATCGAAACATATAATTTGACCAGGGGTGCCCAAACGTAGGCATACGACTGTATGTAAATGTTCCGATTGGCTGCCTTGTATTGGACTTCATTAAAAGCAGTCCAGATGCAAACACTCCTCATAACTTCAACGTGAGTGGGCGGAGCTAAAAGGCTGTAGGCAGAATAGGTAGAAATATGTAAATGTGTTGTTTATTGGGACATGATAAGAATAATAAATTAAAAACTGGCTGTTTATGCTATGCTATCTTTTTATATAAGGACTGTACCGTCCATATGTACAGACTAGGAGTGAATGGTACGTTTTGAAACTTTAACAATGTTTACATTCTACATCAAAGTCTTTTATTTAAAAAGAATAAGGAAAATATGTTTTTCCTTGATATGGTGCGTTCAAAATGCTGTGCTTCTAACTTTGACTATGTTCTAGGAAACTGAAAATGAGCACATGATTAAACAAAAAAAAAGAAAATCTGCTCTGTCCTAACATTGCATCCCTTTATCTGCATACAAAAAAATATATAGTTTGAAACTGATAATGTGCTCTACGTGTATGTATTTTGACAAAAACAGAATTGTGCACTACAACTTTGCATTTTATATCAACATTCTGCAAACCTGTTTGAAAGAATGCATTTGTGGGCGGAACATGAATTGGTCAATTAGCATATTAGTATGTACAGGTGTGAGACAGGCTCATTAACATACACACTCAGCAAGAAATGCTCAGGGCTCTGCAGTAGCTTTAATAAGTCCCTGCAGCCAGGCTTTTATGGCACTTGGGGCTTTATGGGCTTCTGTTTGGGGCACTGTACGGTCTCCTTTTAACCTTTGGCCATTTGTAGCAGCATTGCTGTTGCTCATTTTCCGCACTTTGGCCTGGAAACAATGGCTCAGAGCCACACGTGATTGCTTCTAAAGCACCTGCTGTTCTCTTAGGTTATTGTGGGAGAGTTCTTACAAAGACATGAGGAGCAGTGAGTGAGTTACATAAATAGTGTCATTAATTATCCAATCAATTCACCAGCCCATCGTCCACCCAACACAATACCCTCTTCCGCACAGAACACAGTGCAGCACTGGAAAAAAAACTCCATTGCTGTGCACTTTTCTGCATGACTGTGCCTTTAGTGGGCCAGCATAGTCTCTCTCTCTCTTTCTCTCTCTCTCTTTCTCTCTCTCCCTCTCCAAAGCCCTTTTCATTGACTTTCATGAGGTAAAGTCATTGAGGGGGAAAGAAAATCAGAGGCACATAAACTCAGTTTGTCATCTTCACTCTGTGAACAGGACTATTAATCCTATCAGAAGCCAGAGACCAACAATCAGGGGGTCATGTTGACCCCAGTGACTACTGGAACAGCTAACTATGGCCTGACCCCTTTCCACCAAAACAGCCATCAGTACAGAGTCATCACTGCAAATAAAGTGGGGCTGTCCAATTGTTAAGGCTGGGATAATAAGCAATTTTGACAATTTAGGTGAATTGGCACAAAATTATTGGTATATATAGACTTTTTTATTATTTAAAATTTCAGGTGTTTTACATTTCAGTGTAAAACTGGGTCTGGAGTTTTGGAAAATGGATCCATACACAGTACGCTCATGCATGCAAGAAGAAAATAGAGTTTTATGTATGTATTTCATGCTATCAATACTGTCAATAAATCAATAAGTGCCAGTTCTGCACAAATATCATTTATTAATTGGTTTTGCGAAATTGCCATTACTTTTTACTATACGGATATATAACATAAATAATTTCTGATCTGAATAAGGCATACTGTACAATTTAATACAGATATATGCCAAAGTTTTTGTAAATAAAAATATGTACACACCCTCTTCCACACATTTTAAAGCAAAATTATTATTTATTTGCTGAACTTAACATCCAGGGGGGGGTTGGCCTTATATTTTATGTTGTATTTTCTTCCAATATGTTAAACTCAGTAAATAAATTTGTTGTGCACTACAATTTGCAGACAAATGTCATATTTGCTTCCTATAGAGGATTTGCTAATTTACTTTCACTTAGAAAATCAACTAAACTTGTAATCTGATCGATATTTTTTCATACAACTATCTATTGTAAGGCATATCACAGAGCGACAGCTAACCACATCAAGGATTCCCTGATGTGTTTTGACTTTATTGCAAGGCATATTGCAAACACAATATACAGCAAAAGAATTGTGGTATGGTATGACACTGTGCTTTATTTTCAGTGAAGTGCAGCTAACACACTGGCAGTGAATAGAATTGCACAGCGTTCAGCTGCAGATTTGTGTCTATTCTCATCAATTAATCACAGTGTACCAGGATGTACAGTATGGTATGCTTCAAGGATTCTGCTCTACTTTTCAACCATAATTTGGCTAAAAGCCACATGGCTGACCCATTAGTGACCAGAGCACAGCTGCTCCCAGTCCAAAGTAAGCTACTGACCCATGATCAAATCCCCTCACACCAGTGGGGCAGATGGGCTAGCACCAGCTAATATTATAGCCCCTAATGACCCCCGCTCATTCAGGGGGCTGTCTGCTGAACAATTGCATTATACTGATCGCATCAGGCTATCACAACTGCGCACAACAAGAAACTAATAAAATCCTCTCAGGCACCACTGGAATCAGAAATGATTCTTTAAAGATGTTAACAGGAATGAAGCAGAAAACTTTCTATTAGCAGGAATATCTGACACTGACAGACCACAGTGCACAGTAAGACATAACCAGTAAAGTTAGGACGTATATAGGACATATCATGGAAAACCATGAAAAACCATGAAAATAAGGGACTTTAAAGTAATGTCTAAATATTGTTAAAGTTTCAAAAAGTTCTATTCACTCCCTGTACAATCCATACATGGAAAGAGACAGAATATCAGCCAGCCAATCAGAACAGAGGTGATTTACATATATCAGTCTTAAAGGCCCTTTAACAAAAACAGCCTGTTTAATTAATTAAATAGAGCTTAGAAAATGGTCCTGTAAAAATGAATTATGACCACTTTTATTACATAAAACCACAAAAATGTTAAGTAAACCTCAAGAGAACAAATAATGTACAAGAAAAATGTACCTTTAAGGCATGTGAAAATAAATTACTTCAAAAAGTTATATAAGCTATATTTTAAAGATTGTGTTTGGCTGCAATTGTCTCTGTCAGCCGAAAGGCATTTCAGTGATGCACTTAAGTACTTCTAGAGAGTTCTATTCATATAAACAATGGCACAAGAGCAACCCACAATCACAGGCTTAAGGGCATTTCTAATAGCAGCTCATTCAGCAGAGCTTTCTCAAGAGTACAGGTAGTGCTCATACTGACGTCAGAAAAAAACTGCACTGCTGAGTCTAATGAACGTTCACCGATTCAAATCAGCTGAGAAGCTTCTCTTCATCACGACCAGTTTTTTGTTCGATGCTCTAAAGATATTTCACTTCAGTTTTCTGTGCTCTGAAGCCTCATCGCTTCATGCATTACTGTTAACACCTTATTGTACTCGTTCACACTTCATCACTGTCATTTCTCTTCAATCCTCTGTACTTTACTTGCATTTAACTTTTGTTTGTCTACTCTTGTATTTGTTTATTTAACTAGATCATAATAGGGCTCTTGTCTCTCTTGTCTCCCAAAAACAGCATTTATCTCCAGAATTGTAACTTTACAGGAGAAGGCAAAAACTTTTTTACTTGTAAAGTTAGCGTAGAGAGATTTTTACACAATGTAAAAAGCAGCTGTTTGTTCAAAGATTGTAGAACAACAATTCTTTGTTAACAACAAAAATTGAAAAAAAATAGAGACTTTTTTCTGGATACTGACAAAATTAACCAAAAAAACAAGGACAACCAACTAACCAGACAAAAAAAGATAGAGCTTTAAGACTGAAGAACTGAAGATCTGAAGAAACACTGTTTGAGACTCTAACAGCTTTTCTTGTGTGCAAAAATTAATCTCATGTGCCAAAAAATGGTCAAACAATGAAGTTGCTCTGATCTCCATATTTATTTATTTATACAATCCATATTTACTGTACAAATCTATAATCTTTATTACTACAATGCTTTATATATGAGTCCTATACTACATAGCCTATATTTATGGTCAAAAAAGCTCAGTTCACCTCTTTAGTCCGTACATGTTTCAGTCAGATCCCACAGACAGTCCTTTCAGATACCTCAGCTACATCTCATGCTACTTATGCATTTACATTAGCATTCACAAATCATATTAATAATTTCTTTTATTTTATTCAATAATAAGTATACAGCGTAGATTGAAATACTCTATAGCTAGACACCAGCTGGTTCTTCAAGATGTTTTATTCAAAATGTTCATTTTTTTTCGGGTGAGGATGCCGAAAAGTTATTAAATGATAAATAATATACTGCAAATATTCATTTGCAGTAACTCCTTGATACATTATCTGCCTAAGATGTGATCACCACGTTGACATAGAAGGCATTCTGGACATTAATTTTAGTATGCACTCATTCTCAGTGTTTTACAGCCTTGTCAGTCATTAAGGAATCATCTCTGACTCTCTTCATCATTCTGGATACTAACACTACTTATTTTCTAACACTTCCTGCTACATTAGTAGAAATCTGTGAGATGGTAGAGCAGTAGCATCATAATCGTATCATTTCATACATCAGTTTCAGACTTTTGAATTCTGATCCTGAAGGCTACTGTATACACATCATAACACAGAAGCCAAAGGTCAGCACTTACTAAGCAAACTACTGAAGTTTAGGCATTAGGAAGAGTAAACATCCTATGAGAGTCGTCCAAGTAAGCCAAAACATTTCTTCTCTAAAAAGTGTTTTATACTGCCTTTTATTAGACTTGGTAACAGACTGTGGAGGCTATTAACATATAAAATGCCACCTTTTCACATTTTAAGATTAGTAACCACTGAGGATGGAAGAAGTGTGTGTAGCTCTGGTTAAAAGGTGACGTTAGTCTGTTACCTGTAGTGCACACCTGTGTGTAGTGTGAGGAAGCGGAGGAGTTGCACAAACTCAAACAGTGCAAAGAACAGCAGGAGAAAAAGTTCCTACCTTGTTGTATTAAATAAATCCTCTGAGCTGTTTTAATCCAAAGGGGAAATGCAGCGATTTCACACACAGGTCAAAGCTCTACACCCCGGCGCTCAGAGACACAAGAGTAAGTGAGTTTCCCTTCCCGTCTCGCTCTCTCTCTCTCTCTCTCTCTCTCTCTCTCTCTCCAGCTCTCACTCTCACTCTCACTTTCAGCCCCTCTCTGCCCTCTGCCTCTCTCACTCACTGCCAGGCTCTTTATAGAGTCACGGTGGGAGGAAAATCCCTCTGTCCCAACCCCTCCTCCTCCACTCTCTCTCCTTGACCACTCCTGCCTCATAACAAGTGCTCTCACTTTGCACTACTGCTCTCTCTCTCTCTCTCTCTCTCTCTCTCTCTCTCTCTCTCTCTCTCTCTCTCTCTCTCTCTCTATCTATCTATGACTTGTTCAGCTCCTTGTGGTCAATCACACAACTGCACTGCTGGAATGAACCAGTGACTTCTATTATATTTGAAGCACTGAGGTAAGAAAACCTGCCTCTATTGTGCACTATTGTGCATCCAGTAAGAGACAGCTGTCCTCAGGGCTGGGCCAGGGTCAACAAATCAGTGACAAAAAATCAATATACTCTGAAAAACAGGTGGACAGACGAGAGATGAATGAAGTTATTTGCTGTATATCTTTTCTGTCAGACCAAAACCTTATATCTCCAATTCTGTTTTACCTTTGTGCATAATTTGAAAACACAAGCTGCCCAACAGAATGTGTTAAAATTTCATGATGAATGGACGAGCAGAAATGCTCCCTGTCACATTAACTTCCGTTACAAGTTAAGCATGTTTTTTCCTTCTCCTGTAAAGTTAACATTTTGGACATAAGAAGTTCTGTTCTGACACCAGCGATGTATAAATAGAAGCTGCTCTTTACATTGTGAATGGATGAATGATGAATAATGATGAACAAATTCTATATTTTGCAAATTATGTATTTTTTAAATTTCTATTTTTTCATTTCTATTCAGTTGTATTTATTGCAACATACAATATAAGCATGTAATATAACAAGTGCCATAATTTTTGGCCAAATTTATATTTTATTTGTTTCTCCCAAAATGTTAGATTCAACAAATAAACAGTAATTTTGCATTGAAATGTCAAGAAATGTGTTCTCGGTAAAGGATGCGTCCTTATTTCACTTTAAAAATCAAAAAACATCAAAAAGTGTAATTTTGCTAGGGTGGCCAAACTTTTGCATTGATAATAGTTTGTATCAAAAATATCATGTCAAAATATCACTAATGGCTTTACTACTAAAAAAAACAAAAGAAAAAAAGCAGTAATGATGCCACTTAAATGTACATTGTAATTTATTTTATTCATATTTATTTCTTTTATTTACTTGCACAGCATAGTTGTTTGGTTGTTTATTAAAACACATTGTATTTTCATTAGCCTTTACTAAAGTTTTTTCCTTCCCAAAATTAACGAAGTAATAAATGTTCTTCATTCTTGCATGCAAAATAATAAGATTGGGGTGGGGACGTCACTTAGGGCCCCGAGGTGTTCAGACATGGCTTTGTCAACAATATATGCAGCACTGTGCAAAAGTATTTATTTTAAAAGTATTTAAAGAGTATTTATATCTGAGCAGTAACTGTGTTTTTGCTTGTGAAAAAAATATTTAAAAACCAGAATAAATACAAATAAATGTCCCGACATTTTCTTGTTGGCAAAAAAAGTTATTTATATCTTGGTTAGATAAACACAGAGTTTTGGTTCCTGCCCTCCAGCCACTGCATGGGTTTCTTAAAGTGCATCAGCAACACACTTGATTAAATTTAATGAATGAGTGTTTCACTGAAGCAGGTGTTGGATGGTTATTATAAATACTTGGCTTCCTCAAGGAGAGCTCTGAAAATGGTTTAGCTAACACGCGCAATCTTGTTTCGGTGAATTGTGGGGACATTACATGGACTTTCATTCATTTCCTGGGGACTTCCTGGGGACCCAAATCTTAACCAGAACTATAGCTCGCCTAATCCTAACTCTAACACTAACACTAAAATTTAATGGCTTGCTTTGTGGGGACCAGCTTATGGACCCCACAAGGAAGAAAGGTCCCCAAAACATTAGGGAAATAAACTGGTTTTGGTCCCCACAATGTGGCATAAACCTGGCCCACATACACACATTAATTCACAATGTGTTGCTGGTGGGTTTTACATGTGTTGTTTGTGGTTCCACGCATCATTTTTTCACATGTCTAACACTTTTATGCAGTACTGTGTATATATTGCACCTCACCCAGCATAAATATTTATTTTATCTTCTATTAATTTTAATTCTACTAAAATTAGGCTGAATTAAATTTATACAGAAAATAATTCTTTATGACTCTTCAGATGCAGACCTCATTTTTCTTATGTGTAAGTTTAAATTTCTATAAAAACATAAATATTCAAACTTAAGAAAGAGGGAAAGTTCTAGAAAGAGAAAAACAAATCAGCTAATGCCCCATCAACATGAAGAGAGTAAATGATGTGTATCATGATAGCAGGAAAGATGACGTTCCCTTCAATCGTTAGAGTAAGCACGTTAAAGCATTGGCTAATCCTCTCTTTCCATGCTGCAACATTTCGACACGAAATGACTTGTTCTGCGCTGCTTTTATCAAATACCTCTATCATAACGGTATTACCTTTCAATTACTTCACCATATCCAGTGTGGTCCAGCAGGGGTGGATGTTTTGTTGGTTTTTGGCCCAGTTGTTTCACTTACAGTAAATATACTGTTTGTAGCTACAGTACCTACAGTATGTATCACTCATAATCCCGTAAATATGCAGCTGTGACGTGTCTGTTATTGTGTGTGTGTGGGTTGAGGTTAACCCTGAGGGTCTCTTTACTGCCTCCAGCCATTATCATACCCTATCAGTCACAAAGACATGATTCAGTGATTAGACTAGGCAACTGCACACATGCTGTGTATGAATCAGTATATGAAGGCAAGACGATCACACTGTACAGATTTCACAAGTAGTGACCCAGACCTAAAATGAGTCGGAGGGTTATGACCTTTTAGATGCTGACCATTGCAGCGTCCATTTCCCCTGAAAACGAGAACTAGATATGTCCAGTTCCCGAAAGTAGTGAAATTTAAAGTAACGAGGCACACATGGCAGCTATAGGACCAAAGAACGAGAGAGAGAGAGAGAGAGAGAGAGAGAGAGAGATGTGAGATTAGAAACAATGCACCATAATAAACCGACTGTAGAACAATTCCACTCTTTCTCCCTCAGCGTCTCTGACACAGCAGCATTCAGCAGAGCAGAGCAGATGCAGTGTGTCAGCATGCAGTCACACTCTTCCTCCATAGCAACACTGTTTGTGTAGGAATGAACAGAATGAACTCTTCACATTAACTGCCTCCTCTTCATAAGTCAGAAAAGACGAGTGCCTGGTGAGCTTCATGGTAAAGCGCAACGGCACTTCTGAAGTGATCACATGCACACAGCAGCCAGAGATCAGTGCTAGCGGTCAAGAACTTGGCCCAGCCAGATGTGCTTGTTCACAAACATCACCCCGTATCTCTGCTGATAACAGCACTCCAAAATGAACTTGGGCTTCTGGAAAGCAAGAAAACAACACATAGTCATTTTTAAACAGGTGTCTGCAATTTCAGCTGTGAGAGAAAATCACTGGTTAATAAACAGAAGCAATTCCATCTGTCTCAGTTCTGCTGCCAATCAAATGTGCTTTTTTCTGTCTTTTGTCATGTTTTTTATGCTAAACCCAAAAGTCAGACACAGAGTCTATAAATCTTTAAGAACCAAATGATTCTCAAAGATTTTTTTAGTGAATGTGTTTCTTTAATTTAATTCTTTAATTCTTTAATTTTCTTGCATTTAATTTTTATTCCATGATGCAGAATTTTTCCTTCTCTTATAAAAAAGTGACTATTGTTTGGCTTCCTTCATTAATCCTGACTCATGGCAAATTTAGAGGAGAACATGATAGCACAAATGGCACCAGTCTGATATCAAAAACAGTCATAATTAATTTCTACATGACTATTTTGCAACCTCTCTTTAGTTCTTCAAATTAAACAGGCTATTTTGTTATTGTGCCTTTAAGACTTCAATGACATCACAGAAGCAGTGGATTTAAATATATATATATATATATATATATATATATATATATATATATATATATATATATATATTCAAGCACAGCATCCATTTCATGATGTATGGACCAATAAAAATGCACCAAAATTGCTTAGAAAAAATCTCTTTCCATAGACTTACATTAAAAGCAAAGAACGTTTTTGCCTTCTCCTGTTACTATTTTGGAGATGCATGGTTCTCTTTGGACAGCAACGATATTTGTATATATAAATATGTAATATACAAAGTTGGGAAGGTTATTTTAAAATTTTTATTCCACACTAATGACCTGTTTTAAAACCTAATCCAAGAATTACTTCATTAAAATAACATAATTTGATTAGTTATGAATACTTTTTGATTTTGACTTAATTTATAAAGTCATATGATTTAATAAAGACTAAAAGAATAGCAATTTCAACTAGATGACTTAGGCAAACAGGAACAATGTGCTATTTGTGAAACAATGCTATTTAAGTGACATACAACTGTTTGTGCTTTCCATGTGCTGTGTGAACGTCTATTTGAAAATGTCATTTATATAATGTCAAATATTTTGGTGGAGTAAATCAGGTGTTCAATAAGATATGTCTGGCTGGAAAAAAGCACTGAATTCAAATATTTTCCTGGACCAATATTTGGAAATGTTTCATCCAACAAGGTAGTGTAAGTTGGGTGAGTTATCGTTCTGCATGCTAACTGGTAGTATGTTAATTCACATATGCTTTCCACAATGGTGAGGTTTTAGCACTCCAGTAGGTTTGGTGTGCATCACTGAAAGAGAGGAAACTGTCTTTTTTAAGATGCAATATTCACTGAAGGAATCACTGTAAAGCTGCATATGAAGTAAAGAACAGGCTATTGCGAATGTTTGTAATTAAGCCACATGTGCCATAAATGTCTGGCTGGCTATGTAATGATCTGGGGCTCAGTCCAGTCCATTGTCCCACAGACTCTTTTAAATTAATATGCAAAATGTGAAGTTGCAACTTTTTTTGTATTTAATAAGAAGATTTACACATCAAAAAATGTGCAATGATTCAACACTGTTGATTGGCATGTCTTATAACAGAAATGTTTCTCCAGTAATGCCAATATTTAAGGACTGCTGTAACCTCACAGCATAGCAGGACATAGCATG